CAAAGGAAAAACTGCTCAGTCAGTGTCTAAGAAATGGTCGCTGGTGGTTCCGAGTGCCGCATTTTTCTGGTGACTGACCTGCTGTACCTCGAGGGGCCTGATGAAGCCCTCTGAAGCTCCTTGTGAGCCGTTCACCTAAAAACTCAGGAGCACGGGATAGGTAGTTGTGCAGAAAACGTGGCCTAAGTCCCCGGTCTGATGAGCGCTTGCTGCTCCGGTTGACACAAGGTGGAGGCCAGGGCAACTAGCAGGGCTCTGAACTCTGCCACCCCTTCAGCTGCCAGAGAGACTGTGGCTCTAACAGAAAACTCACTTTTTCTGGAATTTCTAAACAAAATACGCGTTATCACTGTTAGCTTCGACGTGGCTCATGTAGGAGCTGTGATGAGGAATAGAAGTAACGGAGAGAGGCTGTAGCCCATGAGTTTGTCCACCATCGAGTCCGAGCAGTTAAACTTCCGTTGCAGACCATGCTGTTTGCACGGGTGAGGTTTGCCGTTTTCCACACAGCTAGCAATCCAGTTTGAAATTTCCTCTTTGGCAGTCATCCCAGTTAAATTAGTCTGTTATTTATCAGGACGTAGAATCGCTTGAAAGAAAGAAAAAAAATAAGCAACTCTGCTTCCAGTGAGAAGAAAGGCATCGCTAGAACCAAATGCTTTTGTTTCCTCGTGAGAGATGCCTAGTCTGGATGAAGCACCTTGAGTCACTCTAGATGTGCTGCTGTTCGTCAGTTCTGGAGTAATCGGAGAAGGAGGGTGCAGTCCATGTTCCCACCACAAACCTAAGGGGCGAAGCTCGTACTTGTACGGAGGGTTGTTTCCAAATGCTGTCAGTCAGGGTTCTCTGCTGACTCTGGAAAAGCAAAACACTTTGGATACGCTGTGGCCATGGTCTCTTGCTAAAGACACTGGCCAGAAAGACTGGGTTTCCCTGCAGACTGCTTTTTCCCAGTGGCCAGCTTGCAAGGATGCAGGTCAAATAGGTCCCACTCCCCCGGCTCCAGACACCCTCCGCAGAAGCACGGGTGTCTAGGAGGGTGGGCAGAGAGGGTTTTGGGAGCACCGAGCTGTCATACTTGCCAGGAGCAGGCCGCATGCGAGTCCGTTTGACTGTGCAACCCTTGTGCTAAAGTGATCCTGACGCCAACGTCGTGTTTCTTTGTTTTCAGTCCCATTTGGTGAAGCGCCGAGCTGCATGCACTGCCGTCGTGGTCAGTGTCATATGATACCAACAACTTTCGGAAAGCACTAATGAACAAGTGCAATTTCTTTTCTCTATTGTTGGGTTTTTTGTAAAGTTGCTCAAATGCTCTCAGGTATGGCGGCCCTGAACGGAGGACTCGGCGCAACAGGCTTGACGAACGGTACGGCCGGCACGATGGACGCGCTCACCCAGGCCTACTCAGGAATCCAGCAGTACGCGGCCGCCGCGCTGCCCACGTTGGGGTTCGTTTCTTCGCAGAGGCTCAGCGATAGGACGAGAGGCAATGGCCTCAAGTTGCATCAGGGGAGGTTTAGGTTGGGTATTAGGAAAAATTTCTTTCCTGAAGGAGTGGTCAGACGTTGGACCAGGCTGCCCAGGGAGGTGGTGGAGTCCCCATGGCTGGAGTGGTTCAGAAAACATGTAGATGTGGCACTTGGGGACATGGTTTAGCAGGCACCGTGGTGTTGGGTTGATGGTTGGACTTGATGATCTTAGAGGTCTTTTCCAACCTTAATGAGTCTATGATTCGATGATTAATGAAGGACCTCGAGTAGCCTAATCTTTGATTTTTTTTCAGTTTTCTCCTGTTTAGTACTGTGGCTTTCTTCAGCCTCTAATCTAATTAATCTTTCAACCGTCTGTCCTTCAAGTTATACTTTAGTGACCATCCTTTCCTATATAAAAGCATTTACCAACTACCGTGTAAAAAGGCACCAGTAACAAAAATCATCCCTTTATGGGTGCCATTCTCTCTTCTGGTTTCCATTTTCTGTGATAATGGAGTTAATCTGATTAGGTTTAGGGTTTTGAGTTAATGACAAGATCCATTTTTGCTTTGAGTGGTTCTTTGCCTAATTGTGGGTCTTGCAGGGAAGCAACTGAGTGAATGATTGCCCCCTCTCCCCGCGCCAACAGCAAATAAACCTCAGGAAGTTGCTGCTAAGAATAAATGAATACTAATTACAAGATGTTTAGGAAAATGAGATTACCCTTTTCCCCTTTTCCATCCCCCTGCACACTTCCCTGGCATTTTGGGGGGTTGTTTCTGTTTTCCTTGCTTTCTGTCATGCTAATTTCCAGCTGATTCTAGAAGGACAGGAAAATATTGCCTGCTTTCTAAGATTGTATCTGTGTTGTCACTACTGTTCTTGCCAGGGCTAAGTTTTGGAAATAAACCTAGTAGAATACCCTCAAGAGAAATTTTTGTATCCTCTTTTAAAATGGTATCTTGTACTGTTATGGGAACTGTTTCCTAGGAAGACAAATCTGGCATTCCCCCAGCTGGCTGTTGTATAGGGACGCTGGAGTTAAAATGTATAGTTTTCTCTGAATTCTTTACTTCATTTACTGCTAACAGCTTGGATTATTTAAAATGAAAGGATTTTTTTTTAATTTACTTTTTTCGCCTCATCTTTTTGTGTCCTCTGCATTTATCTTTCATCTCGCTCACTTTGGTCAGTGACAACAGACTATTTGACATGTGAAAGCAATTGTTTATTTGGTGTCATTATAAGATACGTATCAGAGAACAGCTTGTCTTTTTCCTAACTATTTTAAAATTTTTTTTCTGTTTGTGAATGTTCAAAGCACATGTAGACTTACTTTTTATTATTATGAATTGACAGTGTCCCTTTTAAAACACAGTCTTTTTTGTTATCTGTCTTGTTTCTGTTAGTAAGGGGTAAAGTTAAGGGAGTAAATTCCACTGAATACTGACAACTATGTTTTGTCTTGTAACATAATTTCTGATATAATGGTGAAGAGTCTGGAGTGGTTGAGGATAAACAAGTACTAGAGTAAACAAGTACTAGAGTAAAATGCTATGTAAATATTAAATGCTGAAGCAGAGTGAACTGCCTCATGCATGTGCTCTAAACTATTGTTTAATAATTTTTTTCTTACTATTTTAAAAAATAGGATTTTCTAGATGGGATAGTTTACTTAACAGTAAGAAGAAATAAGTGCCAGGTGGCTGATTTTTTTCCTCTTTGTTTTTTCACCCCCAAAAAATGTTTTTCTTTTTAAAAACTTTTTTCCCTAATCTGTGTATCCCCTCCTTTTTGTCAAACATTGCAACGTTTTCCTTCCGGCTGAGAGCGAGTAGGCAGCCTGGTTCTTGTGTATGGGAGAGGTGAGGCTTCATGACTCTGTTGCAGAAAGTACTCCATAAATCTGATCCGCGCTTTCCTCTTCCTCTTCAGAAAACCAAGGACATCACATCTGAGGCACACTTAGGTTCCATTAAGGAAGGGAGTTCTTAAACAGGTTATTCTAGATGTGTTTTTACCAGAAATGTTTGTTCCCTTTGTGTACTACTTGCGCTTCTGGTGTCTGCATGGAAAGGCCATGTGTCTGGCTCCATCATACACCATGTTCTTCCAGGCATCCATTGCTCATTTCCAGTATGTTATCATAAAAAAGAAATGAAGCTAGAGGTAAAAAATAAGCTATTAGTGCTAGGATGAATGTTAAAACCAACAGGACTAATAGTGTGTATTTCAAATTTTGTCTGTAAGAAAAATATTCGAAGCACCTTTGAGTTTGTACCTTTCTTTGCAAACTCAACTTTGTCTAAAGCTACTTTAATTTCAACGCAACTACTTTATTTTGAACTTCTTTAAAAGATTTACATTACAGAGTTTCTTCTAGGAGACAGAGCTTTCCATGGGGAATTTGTATTTTTAAAAAAAGCTATCATTTTGAAATGAGTCAGTACAAATTTAATTCTGAGTATCTTTCTCTCTCTGACTTCCCTGATTTCCAGTTCACAAGGTTTGCTTTGTCTTATCATTTTTATTCCCATCTCCACCAGTTTCCTGCCCTTTGAGTTTACATTTGTGATACTCAAATCTGAGCTCTGCTCATTGCATTTCCGCAAGTTCCTGCAGCTAGAATTAAACCGACAAACCCATGCAGGTGTTTGAGGCAGCAGAGGACTCCTTGTGCAGTTCTTGGGGTATTGTGAGAAAGTAATACATTTTGTACCTGTTTTCCTAACCTTAAGTATACTGAAAGACACTTGTATAAATTGAGGGAAGAGGCTGCAGTTTGACTTCTTCTGTAGTAGAGTTATCAAATAAACACTTTTCAAGATAGGATGCTCTAAAGAGCTGCATTTCAACTCTGTTCCTTTGATGATCCACTTGCTTTTGTTCCTTCAAAGTTGGAAAGTGAAATGCTTTCTGACCATCACCCTCAGTAAGTATTATGGAAAAGCAGATTAAATATAGCACTTGAAATAGCTGGTTTCATACTTTTTTTTTTCCCCTGTTGTTTTCCTAAAGGTCCAGAAGGGGCAAACCTCTTTATTTACCACCTCCCCCAGGAGTTTGGAGACCAGGACATTCTGCAGATGTTCATGCCTTTTGGAAATGTTATCTCTGCTAAAGTCTTCATTGACAAACAGACCAATCTGAGCAAGTGCTTTGGTATGTCAAATTTAATAAATTGAATAGTATAAACCACATGCACTGTACTGAAAAAGGGCCAGGAAAGAAAATTAACAGCAATGTGAGAAATGTCATACTGGAATCTCATTCCAAAAATAATGGACTGTTAATCCTCAAATGAGCGGGAAGATGCACAGACAAACTAGTTCTAACTAAAAATTGGATATGAAAAAACAATAATCATCTTCCAGTCTGACATCTCGCATGAATGTGTCAAGTACATGAAACTAATTACACCCTATGTCGGGGAATGTCATTTAGTATACTATTAAACTGCCTTATTATGGATACCTAATTATTCTCTATTGTATAGCTGAGCCACTTAAAAATGCTCTATGTTTAACCCATTACTTCTACATTACAGGAATTTCTTTCTTCTGAATTAAGTACAAGATTTTGCAATTAGTGATTGAATGGTGTGTACGTGTGGTTCAGAATGCTTTGCAGACAGTTGGTGTCTAGATATGCAGCTCCAGCCATCTTGGGCGGGCTCCAGCGTGTTGTGGAAGGTAGCATCTCCCCTTACTTAGGGCAGGGATGAAGGGAGCCTCATGAGAGCACTGTCAAGCTTCCCAGAGAACACTTTGAGCTGCCAGAAAATCAGTTCACAGCAGAGGGGAAGATGACATGTTGGTATGAAAGAAGTTCTAGGGTTGATTAAGTGTGGTGACGTCTTTGGAATAGCATGGGTGCACCGGTTCAGTGCTTTGATGGAGTGGAGCACAGAATGTAAGTGAATGGAAATCTGTTAGAGGATTGGTCTAATAATTGTGGTCTTATCCAAGACATGAGGAGGGTCTAGGAAGAGGAAAGCATCTCTTAAAGATAAGTTTTATAAGATTTGACTTAAAATATTGGAGCTTCCATAAAAGTGACAGTTCTTGCCCAGAGTAAAGGAACACAACTGTATATGTGACAAGAGAGTAACCAGCCCAGACTGCCCCCTTGTTTCCAAACTCCTTTGTACCAGCAGTGTTGCTCTGTGCCCAGCACCATCCCTTAATTCTGAAGTGTCCCCATTAGAAGTGTCCCCATTAACTAAGCTTGCATATCATTCCTTTTTTATAAATCTAGATTTTGTTAAAATGTGTCTGTCTAAGGATTTGTCTCCACCAGGACCATTCAGGGGCCCCACAGCTATTGGGCTTTAACCCATCTTGAAAGGGTTTGAATTTATCTAAGCAGGCAGTACCCAAACACAAGCACGATTCATCAAGTTACTCAGAAACACCTACTGCACTGGAGTTCAAGCCTTGCCACAATCTGTTTTTCACCTGAAGATAAGCCCTTAGTACACTTGGAAAGTTAATTCCGTTCAGAGAAAAGGTGTGACATTCTTTCTGCATTTTTCCATAGTCTCTCAGTTCGTTTTTCAGGCATTCACCTCTTTAAGCTTTACAAAAAATTGTTCATATCTAGACTAATATAGCCCAGCATGTTTCTGCAATGGGTTAAAACCATCCCTGAGGCTGTAGCAAATTTGAAAAGTGGAATTGAAATGGACTCCCTATTGATCTGGAGCCAGTTCAGGTAGCATGTTGGGGTGACAAAATCGTTGTTGAGGTCTCCAGGAATCTTGATGAAATGTCAAATCAAGCTATGTTAATCGAAATGCAGCAATTGTGGTGACTGCCAAAAGAATGTAAATTAGTTTGGGCAGGCGGCTCAATTCATCAGCTCGCTTCCCACACTTGCTTTTCGTGGATTTCTTTTTACTCTCCGATTACCTGCCTCCACATTTGTCTGGATTTATGGGACACAGTTACCTAAGTTAGAGTGATGCACCGAGGTTATCTTATTTGAGGGAAAATGGAGGGGTCAACACCCAACGGATGGAGGAGTCCTCTGTCTTTTTGCCATTAGTAAGCATTCACTAACATTTCAGTTTCTCACACTTCCTCCCCAGATATTCTGCCACCAGGGAGAGAGTTCTGCTTTAAAAACAGAAAGTACTGCAGTGGCAGAAGAAGTTGGGATTTCTGATTCAGTAGGTGACTACTTGGTGATGCTGCTAAGCACAGGCAAAGCCAGGATTAATCCTGCTAGTTTAACATACTAGCATACTCTGTATGTACCTCCTCAGCCTTGTCAGCAAGAATTGTCTAGTTGTTGGTTTGGTCTCATATCTGTGTTTTAAAAAGCTTTATTTTTTCTCTGTCCTCCCACTCTAAAACTAGGACAATTGTGCATCTGAAGAACCTGTTTCTCTCTTGCATCGTTAGTGGTTGTTGGTCTTGGTACAGTTTGGGTTTGGCTTTTTTTTGGTTGGTTTGGTCTTTTGTCTTCTTGGAGGAGGAGGAGGAGGAGTAGTAATAATAATAATAATGTTTTGCACATACTTTGTGCTTTCTACTCTGGACTTTCCAGTATCCTGCCTGAAGGAAGAGGAAGTCAAATTACCAATGAGGAGAGGTTGAACACCAGAGAGGAGAATAGATTGTCCAAGGCTGTCCACTGGCAGAACTGGGAAGAGAAGGTGCATTTTGAGCGAGTCGCAGGGTAGTGATTTACAGTGATGAACTTTTACGCAACACTGCTTCTCAAAATGAAAGAAATACTTTTCTTTGCAGAAAATGGACTTTATCATTATTTGCTTTCTTGTCTACCTCAAATGAATGCTCAAAAGGTTAGGTGGTGGTAAGGATGACAGGACAGCCCGTTTGCGCCTGGAATTGCTCTTCCATGAGTTCTCAAGAGCTCTAGTTGAGTCAGCAGACAAAGGGTTTCACTCTTCAAGCTTACTTCTCGCCTTTCATGAACCTTAGAATAACACAAATGAGAGATGTAAAAGTAAGGCAGGGGTGGGGGCACCCAACGGCATCAGTGCATAAATGCGGTCTGCCTCATAGCGAAATCGCTGCTCGAATGATGATAAATATTTATCCTGATTATAGAGATACCTGGAGATTTAAAACAAAAATCAGAATCATCGTGACAGGGTCTTTGAGAATTGGTAAGAAACATCATCCCACCCTCATGTAACCTGCGGTTTAAAATTCAGACAAAAAATGATGAATGGGTGCAATCAGAAAAAAGATAAATAGAGGGAGAGAATGCCAGATTCCTCTGTAAGCTTTATAAATGAAGGTTCTCAATGAGGGAGAAGATAAAAGTGTGACGAGCTAATGTAGATATAGCATTCCGTGTAAAGAGACACATCATGAATCAGAACGACAAGTGAATGATAAAGGCGGGTACCGCCGATGCAGCACCGAGGATGTATGTTGGAGTTTGTGGCTGAATCGAGGAAGCTAATAAAGAGACGTAGAATGAGGTGACATATCTCACCCCCCTGGAAGGTAAGCAGGGCCTGCGCTAACTGTTATTCTGTCACAGTGGAGGTGTCGAAATGGGTGGCATGAATGGTGGGCGGAAAAGCCACCCCTGGGTGTGCTTGCTTCTCTTCATTCACCATTCGTAGATGCCACCTAAGTGACTAGTTTAGATCAGCTGCTTAACTTTCAGGTGGCTAAAAGTAGCTGAGAAGAAAAGGAGGTAAGGTGATGAGAAGTTCATAGCAGAAGACTGTTCTGAATGTATTTAAGAGAAGAAAGTGAAGGTCAGGAAAACTGTTGAGGCTAATGCTGAATTGTCAAGGTTGGTAGGAGTAGCTACGTGTCGGTTGTGGAGCACCTACCAGGGAGGGGCTGCAGCTGCCTTCCAGCTCATGGCAGATCTCTTTTCTATCCCTGAGGCAATCATAGAGATCAAGGTGGAGATCTCTGAGCTGCTGGAAGTAGACACAGGAGTGCTGTTCTAAGGCTGTGATTGGAGTCGTGTGAACAGATAAGATCTCCTAGAAGAAAATAGGGGAAAGGAAGAAAGGAAGAGAGGAAGCTCCTCGGGACATGGCAGTGATATCAAGAGGAAATGATCTAGTGGAGAAGGTGAGGAAGTGACAAGAGTTACGAAAACCGAGGAAGCTATGGAGGAATATTTATTATCCCTTAAGGATGTAACAAATAATCAACCACAGAACATGACTAGAGTGTATTTGGCCGGGAGAAGGTCTGCAGAGGTCTAAGTGAGAGGTGTTTTTGAGTGGAAGAAACAGAAGTTCGCCTGCATTGTCAGAGAAGAGTTCTAAGTTAAATAGTTTGCTGAAGTTGATTTAAGGTGAAGCCGTAGGGATGGTCTGTGAAGGAGAGCAGCTGGACAAGGACCAGATGACGTGATAAGAGGGGTTTTTTCTTTACAATGGGGAAAGTGTATCATTCTGACACTGAAGATGGAAGAGGGCATCAGTGCAAGGTAAGCAAGAGCCATAAAAGAACAGGTTAAAAAGGTGGTCAAAAGAGGTTAAAAATCAGAAGAGTACGCAGGCACTAAGCACAAATGAAGAAAGCTGGTAGAAGAGAGGCACTGAGAAGCTTGTGTGTTAGGACTGAAAACAAAGCGTGTGGGATCCGTGGTTGAACAGAGGGAAGGGATATGTGTTAAGGCAAATTCAAGTGGAAAGAAGAGGGAGCATTTCAAAGCAGATGCATAATAGCAGGCTGAGTAGAGCAGTAATTAGCCAGAGCCGAGGCAGAGCAGCAGTTAGGCGAGCTTTGCAATTACAAGTGGGAGGCCCAGATATGAAAATGAATTTTGAGCTTCCAGAATCGGGGAGATTTGAGTCCATTATGAAGAGAGCATTTTTAGTCTCCCAGGGAAAAGAAAGCTGAGCCAGGCCAGCCATTCTGAATTACCCGAGCAAGCATTATCCCCCTAGTTAGTGCTCGCAACCCAGGAGCAGAAGATCCGGAGTTCTCGTCAAGCCCTGCCGTTGTCTTTACGATGCTGCTTAATTTTGATGCTTGCATACCCCTGTGGGGACCAAGAGGCTGAATTAATTAACATTTAATGTACCTGGAGATCTTGAACTGGAAGGAGCTGTAAAAATGCAAAATATTAATATTGCAACTGTCCTAAGCTGAGCCCAAGGAGATGAGTGTTTCGTAGCACACAGGACCGGTGCGCATGAACTCACACTCAGGTGTGCGAATGGCTGTAGACATCTTGAGTTTAGGGTTTGTTTCTGTAACCAGGCTTTCTGTTTCAGCTTTACATCTGCAGACTGGCCTAATAGTACCTCCGAACAGACTGGGAGGTATGTAGATATTACACTGAAAAGTGTCACAGTAATAAATATCGTCAGTCTCTAAGGTAGGTAGATAAATAACGGCCTGGAAACTGCATTGCACCAAAAATGGCCAGCTGCATCCCAGCTCGTAAAGCAGCAGTGCGAAGGGAAAGGGGAAGGCAAAGGAAAGGGGAGAGGAGATGGGATACGAAGTGTGGTCGAAGAACTAATTGACAGTGAAGTAAATGCGTCAAATAAATAGTAATAATAAAATCCTAACGAAAAGCCTTCTGATGTTTGTTCTAACCTATAGTTCGCTTTCTCTCCCGCCTCCGTTCTGTGTCTCGTAGGTTTTGTTAGCTATGACAATCCAGTCTCTGCACAAGCTGCTATCCAGGCTATGAACGGCTTTCAGATTGGCATGAAACGCTTGAAGGTTCAGCTGAAACGCTCCAAAAATGACAGCAAACCTTACTGATCTTAACCCCAGATGCTTACTGCTCTTATTTTAGCTTTCTTAGGGTAAGTCCCATGAGCAAACCTGTCCTCTGCAGGGGGGTTAAGAAAGAACATATAGCCAACCTTCACCAAGAGACAGTTATTTTTACAGTTACCACTTCCATTTCCCCACTTGTCCTTATGACACTTGGCTCCCATCTCCTTGCCAAGTAATTACTGAGTTGTGTTACTGTATTTTGTTTTGCAGCATAATTTATCTCCTTTTTAAAAAAAAAAAAAATAAACGTCTTGAAATTCAAAGCAACACACACACACACACACAAAAATGTGCAATTTAACTCTGTGAACCCTGGTGCCATTAGCACACAATAAAAGTTGTTTTCTATGGATGGATCGTATTTTACCAGGGTGGCACCAGCAGTTTATAGGTTAAACAAAATGGCCTCATGCCAGTTGAAGCACTTATTTTGCAACAAAAATTGAAACAAGTCTTTCCACTACATCAACTTGTTTTTTGAGAAGATTTGATTTTCTTTTGGGGTTCAAATCAACGTATTGTTATATATTAGTCTGATTTTACACTGGTCGTCTTTCTATTTCACTTTTTTTTGAGTTCTTGTTTTTTTGGAAAGGATTAATGTAAAAAAAGATTTAGAGATCTGTTTCTAAAGCTACAGGGTTTAAAATAAAAAAAATAAAATGAGTGACAATACTTGATGTTTCTTGAGAGATAAATTTAATAATAATAATAAAAAGGAAAGCCACAGGCCTGTAAATTTTATTTGTAAAAAGCATTTCTATTTTTATACAAAATTTTTACTGCCTCAGAAATAATGGAAGTTATTTATTGCCTATTGTTAACTTATTGGATACCTAAAGAGCAGCTCTCTATGCTAGCTAGATCCTTTGAAGTAGTCTCTAGAGTAATTGTGCCAAGAATGGGCGCTTTTTCGCTGTCGAACCCTCCACCCTTTACAGATCATGCTTTTATCCTCTCGTTTGTATTTGTCTGGTTATTTTGTTCGTAGTTTCCATTGCCTAGTTTAAAGTTCAGTTGTCTGACCTTTTCTCCCCCCTCCCCGTACCTCTCTGTTACCTTCGTAGAAACTGGGTCTTTCCTCTCTTTTCTCCCCAAAGAGGAATCCATGCTCTCTGACTCCTTTCAGATGGATTCTTTTGGGGTTCCATTGTGCTCTTGTTGACAAGTATTGTGAGTTAATGCAAATTATGTGAACGGCTCCTAGGCTTTACTGATAAAAGATTTGCATTCGTTTTCTCCTGCACCCATAAAAGTGATTTTGTTTGTGCTGCATAGACTCTGTGTAACTTTTTTCCTCTTCCTTGTTTTTTCCCTAGACATCTCCATGCCCGTTAGCCCATCGTTTGCCTAGCATGTCCCTGTGGCGTCTCAAAAAAAAAAAAAAAAAACCAAAAAAACCACCCCAGTTTCATCGTCCCGTCATTGTTTCTGATGTCTTTCTGACCTCACATCATGTTTGGTTCTCCTACTGACCTTTGAAATTTGCATGTGACCTCATCTAGCTATGAATTCCGGAAAGCCAATGTGAAAAAACATTGCTGCATTCATGCAAGACTGAAATTTATTATTAAATAAATTAATGATAGGATTTAAAAATAACCTGTGGCAAAATGTTTTTTCTTTCTTTCTTTTTTTTTTTTTTTTTTTTTCCTTTGGGGTTTTTTTTTTTGTTTTGGTTTTTTTTTTTGGTTTTGTTTTTAATGGCAGTTACCAACTGCAATTAAAAAAAAAAAAATAAAAAAAAAAACAGACTTGAAAGTATTATACAGGGATTGGCATTCTGCCTGGTCACTGGTGACAATAGCAATATGTGTCCAGAGGCACAGAATGTTGGTTTCTAACAGACTACTTCCAAAACAGTTTGAGAAATAAAACTGTCTGATTTTAAGTCTCTAGAGGTCTGTAATAGTTTTTACATTTTTCAGGCAGTGTAAAGTTTTTTGATAAGGCCATTTTAGGTGGCTCACTTTCTCATTAAAGTATATATATAGAACCACTTTTTGTAGACTAGTATAAGAAAATATTTACCCTGTTTTAGGGCAAATGCTACCTACTTGTGTCACCTTTTGCTGAACTGACTCACAGTTAGACAATCCATGGTTTAATGCACATGAAATTACCTATATTTTATACTGTTTCAATGTACAGAAGAAAGGTTACTGTAAAATGTGTTACGTTGGTGCTTCTGTGAATTAAGTTGTGGTTTCATCATGAGTCTTCTGGTCTTAAGTGTTCTGTGTTTATAAAAGACGAGTTTCAAATTGGTTTACTTGAACAACAGGAACAAAAACAAGATTCAAAAAAAAAACCACAAAAAAAAGTTGTTTGCTTAAAAAAAAAATTTCATGTGAAAAATGAAAAAATATTCCAGAATGTGTTTGTGTTGGCTTGTGACGCATTGATGTCATTTTTTTATCGTGAACAATTTAGACGTGTTTGTGTTCAGCAAAATGTGATCGGTTTTTCTTTTAAAGAAAAAAAAAAAAATCAGTGAAACTATAGTGCCAAATTCCAAAGGTACTTTCTTCCTAGAGCTTCAGTGTGTTTCTTGTGTGAAGTAATTTGATAACATGGGTATTTTATTATGTGTTTTGTATAAATCCCTAATATTTAAAGAAAAAAGAGGTTAAAAAGTTTGTTAACTTGCTATCCTGTGGTCTTGTTGCCTGAAATTGTTATTGTTTGTTATTTCTCTTTGATGTTTTTTGTAAAACATTGTATAAGTGCCCATGTTTCACTTTTTTAACCACTCTGCACACATCGATGCTGTGAAAGCAAACCTCACTATGTATTTTCTTCATATTGTATGGAAACCTCTAAGGTGAGAAAGTTTTGAACTTTTAACCCTTTCCACCCAGAGCTGTCTTGAGTGTTAATACCTTTTATACATTCACCATTTTGCTGTTTATTTTTATATATATATCTATATCTATAAATATATATATACTTAGTTTTTTGTGGTTTATTTAATACATGGTTGAAATCAGAACAATTAATAAAAGAAAAGAAAAAAAAAACAATTCTTTAATTATCTGTTGTGTAAGCCGCTCCCAGACAGGAGCGGTAAATCCACCATTTGAAAACCTTGAGGAGAAAAAAAAAAAAAATCATATTTTTGTAATTTAAATAAATGAACTTTTGCTTAAATCAGATGCACTAGATCTTCCTGGGTGAAAATTCAGCGTGCACTGCAGTTAAACTACTTTTTATGGATCAAGTTTACATACACTGTAATGTTTGGTGTTATCTGCCATTATTTGTAACGGCAATATCTTGGCTTACTCCTGCAGACACTCGTGTAGAGAGGAGTAACTTTACTCGTGCAAGTAGTCCATGGGAATATATATGTGATTGATGTGGGTGTTTGCTGGAGGAAGCTCTGTGTAAGGAACCAGAAAAGAGATGCTGGTAGCCCTTTTCACTGCCTTGTAAGTCTGATTAGATTGCATTTCTGCCGCACAAGTAGCGACCAACAGCCAAATTCGGTTCTTTGCTACCCGTATAGAGAATTCGTTGCCAATCCAATGCGTGTGAGCAGCAGTCCCTGCTACTGATGATAAAGTGCCATACCTTCTGCCACCTCCTATTGCTATCCGATTATATTCGAAGCCACCTAAAATTAAAAACGAAGCCCTATAGGGACAACATCAGCTGGTGCACTCTTGTCTCTCATCCCCAACTTAAACGCTTCTTTATGTAGAGCCCTGGGATGGAAAGGACTAGCCTCTAGTGATGCAAAAAAGTTTCCTTCTTATAGCACATGCACTTATAAATAAATGATCTATACTTTTCTCACATGTTTTTACTACTGCTGGGGCCTTCCTACACCCTTTGAGGGCTATTTTGTACTACTTGCAGCAATTTTGCGTATTCAAAGTATCATCTCACGTACGTTATATTATATATATGTACATATATATATATAATATGAGATCATCATTGGGATTGTTTAGACTGTTTCACTAATTTTTCTCAGTATACCCACCGTATAAATTTCCAAAGCTTTTTTAGACGCCCTAGTGTGTCCTGCGGGTTTCCCAGTCCGGTGGGAGCGGTGGTGCCGGTGGTCCTCGGGCAGGGCGACTCGGCGTCGGGCTGCCCTGGATTACGCTGCCCGGGACATTGGCTCGGCAGCGCGAGGGGAGGAACCTCCCTGTACTTCCAGGCAACGGAGATGGGTCGTTGCTGAGAAAAGCGTCCATCTCGAAACTAAGGATTTTTTTTTTAAAAAAGAAATAAAACTCGAGTACAAAACCAAAAACCCAGACATACACCTCCTTGGCAACAAATTATCTACCAGTTGTCTTTCAAAATATCGAAAGGAAAAAGCTGCAAGGGTGCAAGGGCCTAATAGGAGAGGAAGAAAAACAAGGGAAATTGCTTTATGAAATTCTAATCAAAAGACTAGACGAGTTGTTTTTTCAAACAAATTAGCTAATTGCGATGAAATGGCAGTCCTCAAAGGAGTAACAAGTTCATCTTTCTTTCACCATAGGGGTTACAGTTCCTTGGCTTGTGCTACTCTGGAATCATTTTACTGTTTCTGTTTTTATTATCTTAAGTGCTGATTAACAAAAGGAAAAAAAATATCCTGTAGTTTCATTAAATTTTTGGATAATGTCATACAAGAAAAAAAAAAAAAACAAACCTATGTATTTGTGTTTTTTTTGTGCTGTGAGAATTGTTGTTTGTAGATGAATAATACTATCATTTTGTTTAGAATTACAGACTAGTTTTTAAGTATTGTCTGAGAAAAGCCAAAGTTAATGCAATCTAGTGGAAACTGTAAGACCATTTGAGTATTGTTTCTGTTTTATTGATGCATTTGGATTTTGTTGTTTGATGGAATTTGAGCCAAAAAAAAAGAACAAAAAAAAAAAAAGGAAAAAAAGCAGGCTTTCCTATTTCTACAACTTGATTGTACTTATGCATTTTGTACCAGTGGAACTTTTTATACTGGAGATTAAAAATCAAATGGAAATTTTTGTGGCTTACTCTGGTGGGCCCCCTCGATCATGACTGATTTTCAAGTTTGATTTCTGGACGGTAGAAAGAGAGTTGGTTTTGTTTCGAGAATTCAAAACTTTGGCTTGATTTCTTTTTTTCCCTTTGCTTATATCTAGTGTTTAGAATTTTGTCTTAACAAACGCGGTAAGTTTCACTTTTTATTCTGTATCGTGCAGTTACACAATAAGGTAATTAGAATTAGGAGTACTCGGTCACTTTGCGTGGATAAATGTATTAGTTAAAACGTTAGGGGTTTGCTTTTTTGCTGTTTAGATCAGAGTTTTTTCTGATTCTTCTGTCCTCATTGTGAACATAACCGTGTAGTTGAAACAGTCAGACTTATTTTTGTAACGTATGTTATTGTGTGATGCAGTTTTTTGCTTCTGTCTCCAATATTAAACCATTTTCCTAATACTTGTCTCTCTACTTTGTGTGTTGTATTGTTGGTGGTCATTCTGTGTTGGTAATGCATCTACACACCTCACTGTTTCACGTGCCTGTTTTTTTTTTTTCTCTCTTTGTTGGTTGTGTACAAAAGATACAGTCGATTCCACCTAAGTGAATATCTGATTGGGGGGCAAAAGAGGATTTGTGCATTTTAGACATGTTATGGTTTCTTTGATTTTTTTTTCTCCTCTCTCTTCCTCCCCCTAGTCATGCCTTATCACTTGGATAATCTGTCTGAGCAGGAAGCATTTTAAATGAGTTTCCTGCAAAGTCGTATCGAAGGCAGCTTTTGTTCGCCTTCGGACTGCAGAAGCTTCTGCACACAAACACACCGAAGCCACCTGAAAAAGATTTTTTTTTTTTTTTTCCTTTGCTGTGACATTTCAGTCAGTCTGGAAATTGCGGATTATGGAGATCAGTTCTTCCTAGGCACTAAAAAAAATAATAATAATACTACCCCACCGCTACTTTGCAGAAGCATATGAAACGTTGAAGAAAAGGAGGATGCAGCCTTGGGATTTCTTCCAAACTGCGCCGTAATCTGATGGCGTATGGTGTTAGTCAAACTCTGCTTAGGAACTAAGCACGTCCTAACTAGGGCTGTGAGGGCTGGCAGAAGCCTACCAGGTGGTGGGGCTTGTTATGTGCAGTTGTACATACAATAATTAAAAAAAAGAAAAGAAAATCCAAGTGAGCACAGGAAGACTGTGCTGTTAAAGCCAGTGGAAGTAAAAAAAAAAAAAAAAAGAAATAACTCAGTGATGGAAAAACAATCCCCCGTTGTTCAAAGGGGTGAGATTTTTGCTGTGGGCTTACGAAGCAGATCGTTCTCAGCGTTGGCGAGTAGTATTACACAAATCTCAAAAGGGACAAAAGAAATATCATAGCACTTTTTTTCTTATTACTTTTTACAGTTGGCTTTTAGCTTTTTTTATTTCTTCGTCTCCTATAATTTTTACCTCCTCGCAAGAATCTCTCTGCTTTCCCGCCAGCTGGTGTCTGCCACGCTGAAATAAAAGCTGCAAAAGAAAAATCTTACGTTGTTCTGGTTTACAAAAAGTCTCTCTTCTCTCCTCTGTCTGACCGCAGATCCGAACCTTACGATTTGGAGAGGGGGAAAA